TAGTTGTTTGAGAATGTTTAAGTTGTTTTAAAGACGTGATTTATGATTCCAATTTAAATTTATGAATATTTGTTTATTTAGAAAAATAGAATTTTAATATTCCGCATTTTAAGTACATGAAAATTATGTTTGGTAACATATCAAGATGTGTGAAATTTTGGGGCGTTACACCACACCATTGCCACGATCACGACAACAGCCACCACCTTCTTTCTACCCATCGTCACAAAAAATACTTGTTTCCACACTACCACCATCCCAACCACCACCACCACACCGGCACTACCTCCACTACGACCATTGCCTTCACTATTGTTATCGCCAATTGTAAACACAACCAACACTCACTCCATAAAATAACAAGTGCTGCCAACATCACCACCACTTCATGAGCACCGCCAACACGACCACAACCAACTGCAAACACCACCAACAAAATCACTGTACTAATACCACAAAATCAAATGCAAAATTTGCACCACTATCGCCACTACCACCTCAACTGCCACTGTTTACATAACACAAACAATCATCCATATAAACACACTGAAATCCCGATAAAGCAGCAAATCGGAGAAAGAAACCACCACACAACATTGCAACAGACGAGTGGATGAAGAAAACATCACAAAGGAATAAACGACAATGAAGCGATTCAGTGGTGATTATAGGCTGTTTTACACAGCGGTAACGTGGGACTGTGCCGCCAACAAATAGAAAATGAATAAGGGGAGGAGGGAAAGAATGAGAGCAGCGGTGATGTAGTTTCTCTTCAATTAGCATGCAAGGTCGGGTTTAGACCTGTTCTCAAGATGGTGGCGTGCAGTAGTGCACCACCGATAGATAGAAAATGGAGATGCGATGTGATGCGCTGCCAGCAGATATATAATGGAGATACGTTACTAACTAAGACAATGGAGAAGGGGATGAGAGGAAAAGTAGAAGGAGAATAGATGAAAATTTTTGGGTCTATTCTCTTTACTATTTTCAAGTCATTTTTTGTTTTCGATTTTCCAAAATAATGAAAACACGTTTTTGAAAATAAGTTAAAAAATTACAAAGAAAATCCAAAACAACAAATTTGTCTTTTTAGTGTTTTCAGTTATAATCAAGTCAAAATTATCAAAAAGTGTTTTCAAAATAATTTTTCAAAATACTAAAAGAACACATTTTCAACAATCTCAAAATGAACACTCAAAATGAATTTAAAACACAAAATTGAAATACAAAGAGAATAACCCCTTAGAGTTTGAAATTGGGTGGAGGTGAGGTTTTGGTGAGTGGTGGGTTTGTAATTTTATAATATTATTAATATTTGCAAAATATATTATCATATGATTTTCGTATAAAAAAACTTTAGATCTGATTTTTTAAGTTGGATGTTAGAAAATCTAGTTGGATGTAATTTCTACTTAAACAAATAAGGAAAATTGCAGCAACGATCCATAACCGTTTTCATTTTTGCAGACTCTCTAACCTTCAATTTGTGCCAGCGAAGGTCCTTAACACTGGCGGACCCACATGGGGTCAAATGACCCCACATTTTTTTTTTCCTAAACATTTTTGAATTCTCATGTTTGACCCCACAAGAAAGTGGTATCGGTCCGCCCCTGGTCCCTAATCTTCCAAAAATATGCATTCGGAATCCAAATGGATGGAATCCATCCACTTTTCCGTTAGTCGACTAAAAAATCATATTAACCATACTCAACCAAACCCAAATCCACGGCTACCACTGCCACCGTCACCACCTTCTTCCCCAATTCTTCCCTTCATCCCACCATCTCCACACTATTTCATCCCCGCAACAATTCTAGATATCAGATCTGTTGCTTTCGTGTCTCACTTTTGCACTCTTATTGT